TGTATGTATCCCCTCCTACATAAGTTGTAAGCCGCCCTGAGTCCCCTCAGGGAAAAGGGCGGCCTATAAATAAACTTATACCATACTATACCATACCATCTTATACAATGGTGCATCTTATAGTCTGAAAAATACGGTAACTGGTCGTAGGTCAACTGGTAGTAAGTGCAAGACTGCTATCACATCCTTCCACGTGGACCAACTCTGTGGACTAACAAGATCCACTCCTTCCATGTTTCTGCATTGGGTTCTCCAGATTCTTCACTAGCTGATCTGTCTTCAACTGACTAATCTAGATATGGCCAAGTAGCTAGAAGGAAGAGGCAGCTAGGACTGGAGAAGGAAACCCCAAAGAACTCACCTGTTCAGACATGTCCCGAGCTAGAAATTTCAAGTGGGTGATTGCAGGATATTTGTCTTTCCGAGCTGGGTCAGTGGTGCAGCGCATGAACAAGGAGGGGAGGATCTCGGTGTCAATCTTACACTTCTCGTTCACCACACTGACGCAGACTTTGTAGAACTGGACTGGAGAGGCACTGCTCCCATCTGACGTGGCCACCACAATGTTGCCTCCACCGGTGAAAGCAATATCAGCCAAGGCCACTCGGCAGCGCAGGCGGCAAAGGCTCTCCGTGGAGGTCAGCACTTGTCCGTTGGGCTTCAGCAGTGAGACGGTGACCAGCCCGCTGATGGTTACTGCGATCCAGCCCTCCATAGGTTTCCCCCCAAAGAGAGTCAACGATGGGGAGAATTTGACCCGGGAGAATTTCTCACCAAAATTGGATGCTCCAGACTAAGGGCAGAAGGAAACAGAAGATATTTAGGAGAGAGTCGATTATCAAGAGTTAAGTTAAGGTAGTCCTTAACTTACAACCATTTGTTTAAGTGACTGTTCAAAGATACAACGGCACTGAAAAAAGTGACTTGTCATTTTTCACACAAGCATTGCAGCATTGACTTTGTTTGCAGGAAGCTGGCAGAGAAGGTTGTAAATGGCAATCTGTTGTGGCCCGCCAGCAGCAACAGAGTCAGACAGTGAGAATGTTGGGGATGAGCATGGGCCAGTCCTTGTGTGAAGTTTCCAAAGGATGACCTAATTAATTTACGAGCCTCGAGACAAAGTTCAAAAGAAATCCATTTATTAGGATCAACATTTTGGCATGTTCTTCTGTGGAGCCGAAACTGATTTCCGCTTAATTGCATTTGAACTTTACCCCTGTATCCCCTCCCTTCTGTTTGTGTCATAAATCACATTCACCAACAAGATGTTACGGCTGGCTATGAACATGCATATTTCATAAACTAGCTGTAGCAATATGAGACCTGACTCTGGCCAAAGGTATGCATGGGATTCTACTCCCTTTTCCATGTCGACTTGATAATAGTCATGGAAACACTTTACATGTTGACACCTGGAGGCTGGGGAAGGCTCAGACGAAGGCTCTGTGTCAGAGGCAGAGATGGGGCCAAGGCCATCTGGCAGTGATCAGGTNCTATAGTTCTACATATCAGGACATACTGTACTAAAAATCATTTAGTCCTTAACAGTTCTTAAAAGTAGATAAATAGAATCTCAGATGAATAACAACCCATGATATATTACATCACGTCATCATTTATTTTACAAAAAGAAACAAAAAGGAGAGGCTAGTAAAACTCCACATAAGTTTATTCTATACTAGCCAAACTTTGGATGCATCCCAGGGAAATAGTAACACCCCCCCCCCAAAAAAAAACCCTGACAAATGCCACTGGTTCTAAACTTGACATTACAGAAGTAATATGCCAATATTTTCCCCTTTTTTAAAGGCTGCAATTTCATAGTGGTATATATTTGTTTAGCAATATGCATGTAACATTACACATCAAAGCTATAAAGGCTGAGTTGGAAATGTTTGTAGATAGAGGCAACTAAGATATTGTAATTTGTTTTAAAGTAAAGGTTCCCCTTGCACATATGTACTAGTCGTTCCCAAGGGGGAAGTGCTCATCTCCATTTCAAAGCCGAAGAGCCAGCACTGTCCCAAGACGTCTCCGTGGTCATGTGGCCGGCATGACTAAACACCAAAGGTGCACGGAATGCTGTTACCTTCCCACCAAAGGTGGTTCTTATTTTTCTACTTGCATATTTTACATGCTTTTGAACAGCTAGGTTGGCAGAAACTGGGACAAGTAACGGGAGCTCACTCTGTTATGCAGCACTAGGGATTCAAACCGCCGAACTGCTGGCCTTTCTGATCGACAAGCTCAGCATCTCAGCCACTGAGCCACCGTGTCCCTGATATAACTTGTTTTAGCATCTATTGAATTATAACTGGATACTTACGACATAGACATGGTACCAATATTGTAGGTGAATTAGAACATTTGGTGCCAAAGTGATACATCTCGTTACATTTATTAATTACACAGCATAAGCTTTCCAACGTGTTGATTTGTAGCTTCGTACAAATCACAGTGGCAATATACAGCTTGTCTTTATTACTGATATACTGCCATTAGGGAAGGATGCATGATGATGTAAGATGTTCCCAATTACTACCGTAGGAATGGTGCAAATGTGACCTTTACCTATCTGACAAAATTCTGGTGAGGCTGAAAGTAGACTGCACCATGTACGCCATTCTGAAGAGAAGGGATGGGAAAAACTGCAGCTCCTCTGATTCATTTTATTAGATTTACACACTGCCTTCCTGTTTATAGAAGCCCTCGACGTGGAAATTTGTGTTGCTGAAAGTCTGCAGGAAATTGCCAACTTTCATCTGTGAGATCTTTTGCAATTGGCAAAAAATGATTCTCCTCATCCTAAGGAGGTACATGTAACAGGAGAAAGAAGAAGGGCCTTCCCTGTGGTGACTCCATCCTTGTGGAACATCTTCCCTGCCTAAATAAGATTGGCTCCCACTATGACACTCTTTCACAAAACCCTGAGGAACTGCTTTGCCAACAGGCCTGGGGAACCTCAAATAGAGCTCCACATCTGGCTTATTTGATGAACTGATTATTGTCATCAGAAGGTAAAAGGAAGGGGTATTGGTCATTATTGCTTTTATATTGGGATTATATCTTTATAAGCCTCCCTGAGTCACTGACAGGGAGTTGGATCGCCGTATAAGTTTTCATAAATAAATAAATCTGGCTTGATAACAAGACTTCTGGAACAAGGGAGGGTAAAGTTGTCCCTGAAAGGGAAGGAGGGACAATGAAAGCAGCTTCTCATGAGCGGGGCAGCTATATAAATTTCATTAATAAATAAAAGTAAACATATAAAGTTGCACCTCTTTTCCTATAAATCTCACGATGTCGCCTAAGTTGTAATGCTGTCTTAGTGACTGCAAAACAGCATGGGCTGTACTGCCTAAATGCCTATGGATAACCCAGTAAGTTCTCACATTACCCCATCTGGAAGAAGAAAAAAGTTTGGAATAATAATGCACTTTTCCCATAAAAACCTATGGGGTGGGGGTTGGTGAACAAAGGCTATCATGATTAAGATAGAAAGAAATGCTAGACATCTTTTTGGTCAAACATTTAGAACTGGCCATTAAGTTTCCATTAAGCATCAGGTTCATTCACAGGCCAAAATCAACTGGCTATTTACCAAGCAGTTTTAAACAGTAAGTTTACAGCCCTAAAGCAATTTAAAATTATCTCTGTTGTCTGGACAGCCCCCTCCCCGCTGTCTGATAAAATAAAACCAAACAGCTGTAAAAAGTGTTTTTCTTTACAGGCTTACCAGTCTTGTTTCATGTAATGAACCAATTAGAGGTAGTTTATCCTTTAACCCAATAAATGTTATTAGTCTGTCCAGAGCTATAATGGGGGACCCAAGCTCATTCCTCTATCCTTCCTTCAATTTCAGAGGCACCATCTGATTTTTACTTAAAAATATGATTAAGGAGCAACAAGTGTTCGTTGGCTGGCATGGAGTATTTTCTTTCCATTGATTTCTTAATTATATATGCCAGTGATGGCTAACCTTTTCTGGACCAAGTGCCCAAAGCATGTACGTGTGTGTGTTTGTGTGTGTGCGTGTGTGTGTGTGTGCATGCACTCGCCCCTGGAACCCCCAAAATGCAATGTGCGTGCAGCCCTGCACATGTGCCCCACTCCTATGCATGCACTCGCGGCCTCCCTGCATGTGCCCTGCCCCCTCTGTGCATGTACATGCGGCCTCCCCACATGCCCCCACCCCACCCCACACACATGCGCAGCAGAGACTTGAAGACCAGCTGGCTGACAGGAAGAGTGTGCACATACGCGGGGAGATGGTTCGCGTGCCCACAGAGAGGGCGCTGCTTGCCACCTGTGGCACGCGTGCCATAGGTTCACCATCACGGATATATGCCAAACTTATTGTAAAAGTTAGCAAATGGATATTGAATTCTTCTCTTTTTGCATTTCCTCTACAAGAAGACTTTGATTCCAACTCCAAAACAGATAATTGAAATGTTGCAGCCTAAACCATTCAAATAATATCACACCTCAAAAGCAAAGTGCAAGATAAGCAAAGCAGAGAACCTAATAATGCCTATTAATCTAGCAAGCGAACTCAGCAATATACAGATGGACAACAGCCATTCAGAGTACAAGGGACAGAGATAAGTATGGTGCTCCAAAATTATTCAGACCAAATTATTTAAAGAATGCTGTGCTCTAATCCATATCTAGTATATTCTCCATCTGTCTGGATATTCATCATCCTATTCAGATAGAGTTTGAATATGTAACATCCAAATACACTTTCACTTTCTTAACATATTGATTGATTGATTCATAATATTCACCAGTTGTCCTTATTCCCAAAGCTTACAGAGGAAAATCCATTAATCATCCTTAAAGATATAATACGCATTTCTTCATTTTGCAGTGGAGTTTGGAACAAACTACAATATGCCACAATATAATGATTCCAAGCAACTGTACTACTCATTGTAGGTTGTCCACCCCACTTCTAATGCAGTTTACCAAAGAAAAATTGCTCTTGTGAACAGAATTAAGCTACCAGTAGCCTCAAAGAAATAAGGTAATTTTGAAAAGTTCCCTCAAGGCAGTGTCACATCAATTCACTATTTACTATAGAGCCATAGAGGCGCTGTGGTTAGAATGCAATACTTCAGTCTAATTCTGCTCACTGCCGAACTGCTGGCAGTTTGATTCTTACCGGCTCAAGGTTGACTCAACCTTCCATCCTTTCGAGGTCAGTAAAATGAGGATCTAGGTTGTTGGGGGCAATATGCTGACTTTGTAAACCAATTAGAGAAGGCTATAAAGCAATATATAAATCTAAGTACTATTGCGATTGCTACTTTAAGAAAAAAGACTAACAGTAAAAGAGGAAAAACTTTATATGGAGAAATTAAGCTAGGGATCCCTCAAGCTTGGCCCAGAGTATCTGGAGGGGAATGAGAAGACTCTATGATGTTCATTGCCTTAAAACCTTTAACTATTTCAAGACTTGGGATCCAGAAGTCATTAAGTAATATTACTCTCTTGTTTCATTAGCTTCATGGTAAACTACTATCTTGGTGTCATTATCAGCCTTAAAGCTCACCCCCAGTCCAATCACATGCAACGTCGGATATCCAGGACAAACAGGGACTGGGATACAATTCAGAATATAACAGAATAGCAGAGTTAGAAGGGACTTTGGAGGTCTTCTAATCCAACCCTCTGCTCAAGCAGGAGACCCTATACCACTTCAGACAAATGGTGGACCAATCTCTTCTTTAAAATCTCCAATGATTTTTCTTGCAGACTGTATTGTTATTAATGAACTGCATAACTCACCTACCCTACAGAAAACATGCATTATTATTACTGACTGATGGGATGAATTTGTTATAAGGGATCACATAATTATCCAATACAGGAATTGGATAATTCCTCCATTACTGGTACCATGTCTATAATCTCTCCATTTAACTGACTTTTCTAGAACATCAAGGTTGCATTTAATTGCATGCAATCAAAAGTTAATAAACAAAATTCAAAATTCATCATCCTGAGAAATAACTATCATTCTCATACAGCAATAAAATAAGTGATATACTGAACTTTGGCTTACCGCATCAGTGACATCAATCTCATACATTTTTTTAAACGTTTCACGATCAAAAAAGAGAAGTTTTGCATTGCCATGTCCTTTCTTAACAGAAGTGCCAGTAACAAGTAATTGATCATCTGGGCTAAAGCAACAGTCGGTCCTGTAGACAATAGAATACAGATTAGTTTATCTTTTTGAAATCCAATTTATATAATATTTCAAATCTATGTTAAAATGATAATTGCATTTGGCAATTAAAATCAAAGCGGCATTCCAACTAACCCTAACTAGAAAAACCAACAAATAGATATTTCTCCTGAAGATTTCACCAACCAGAATAAAAAAGTAAATAGAGTTTTGAAATCTATAATTCAGTAATAATTCAGTGGGCCATAATGTCTATTTCTAGCAATACTCCAACATTTTATATGACAAATGGTAAACAGACCCATTTTCAAAACCATTTTTCATATTTCCTCTCAAAGCAATAAACAAACACATAGATTTTTTAAAATTAATTTGAGGTGAAAGCTAAGAGCTTATAGACAAGTAGCAAGTAAAAGCAATATGCTAAATCAATTTCTATCAAAAGCTTTAAAAGCTACAGCATTATCCCTAAAATCTGGGGGAGATATAATTCTTGCTCTCTGCAAGCTAAGCAAATTGGAATGAAGCCCTGTTGGAAAACCTGGTCTCTCCCCCTTTCTTTCATCCCATGCCAATTTCCATCTGAAGTTTATTGTTGAAAAAGGTGTAGTGTGACATTGTTCATCAAAGTTTTAAGGCTTAATATTTACCATGATTCCTGTCCAAAGTAGATATGGAACTGAGGAGATCTAATACCATAAACATATGACCTTGCAAAGTATTATTCACCCAGCTTGCAAACCTTTAAAGTGGCTACAGCCAGTATAATGGTGTAGCAGTGGTGGATTCCGGATCCTGATGCAACTGGTACGGTGCAACAGGCCTTGGTGTCCCCCACATACACGCGTGCAGTGTGAGGTTAGGTTAGGTTTATTTAGCTTGTATGCCGCCCTACTCCCGAGAGACTCAGGGCGGCTAACAATAAGAAGGGAAGGGGGAAAAAAAA